GACGGACCTCGCGGCGGGGGAGGACCGCGCGCGATAGCTTACCGCGTCTGGAGGACCCGCGCCTGGCGGCCATTGACCCCGCGGCGACCACCACAATTCTTCCCGCGACGTCAGCACCCCGCGAATCCATTTTGCTCCCCGTTATCCCCTGCGGCGTTAGTAGACAAACTAGGTGTGCTTGAAATCCACAGACATGACTTAGAACAGTCCTCGGGGGGGATAGCCAATCGCGTGGCTGCTCTGTGCTTGTGTGCGTGACTTTTTTGATTGTGTGTGTGTGTGATTTAGATAGCGAAACGCGGTTTTTTCAAGGTCACGCGTCTACGGTGGGGGCGCCGGTCGGTTGCCACGGGTAACGCGACGTTGTCGTCGACGGGGGTTAAGGCGCGCGCTCGACGCTGACGGCGGAGCGAGGTTAAGGCGCGTGCTCGACGCTGACGGCGGAGCGAGGTTATGTCGCGCGCTCCACGCTGACGGCGGAGCGAGGTTATGTTGCGCGCTCCACGCTGACGGCGGAGCGAGGTTATGTCGCGCGCTCGACGCTGATGGCGGAGCGAGGTTATGTCGCGCGCTTCGCGAGGTTACGTCGTTCCCGCACTTTTCGACAGGTCGTGCGCGCGCGCTGAGATTCTCGTCGTTTTCCATACATTGTTCCTCGTTGCGTGATCACGCGCGGATCGCGCGAATACAATTGAGGAAAGAATGAACAATTTAATGACGGACAGCGCGAATATTTCGCCGTGCGTATTTCACTGTGCGAAAATTGTATTTACTTTTAAATGTTAATTATAATGTGTAAATTAAGTAGTGACTAATTGAATGTTTTATTGTTTAAACAAATACCTTTGATTCATATCGCCCTTGAAATCATTTATTCATTTTTCAGAATATTTAATATTGTTTTTATTATTTATACTAATATATCAATCAATTTATTCGACGTCGCGCGCCGGAGACAGTGTCTCGACGCGCTCGTAATCTCGGGTCAAAAGGTCGCGTTGAATGTTATGACTAATTGTAAGGTCGAGCGATAAGATATGCCGTCGTGAGAATTTTTGTCACTTAATCATACGTAATATTGCATAATCGGTATATAATCTTCGTCTGCGGTGTTTTATCATCGCGTAATCGGTAGGATCGGATGAATGAAATTATTTTCTTATTTGTCAACTGAATGAACATATTTATTCGATTATTGTTACATGTGAAAGTACAATGTTTATTTGTAAACCGTTTTAATTTTGTCCGAAAATCAGTGCGATCAGTTCGCAATCGATTATGTCGTTGCGATCGAAAGATTCGTTTTCGTACATGGTTCTTGGTAATTTCGTAGAATCGTTCACATTGGTCGCGATATTGAGAAGACGCGAGAATTTTTTGTCGATGGTATCAGTTACAGCGTTGAACGAGGAAATAAGACGATTGACGCAATATTCGAGATTGAACAAATTGAGAACGGTGCTTTTGGATAAAGTCACTTTAGACGACGATGAATTTAGACGTAACATCGGTATACTGTTAATTCGACCGAAACGCAACGTCACGTCTCCGATGTACATCGGCGGTGGCGTGCGTTTTCCTTTGGTTTCTTCGTATTGCAAAAGCGGTAATATGACGTGTTTTTTTTCAACGAGCTCGCTCCATACGGTCGGTAAGAGGGACATCTCCTTGCCGTGACAGTCTCCAAGAACGATAGTCACCACGCAGGGCAATTTTACGTCGATACCGACGGTCAGATACTTGTATCCTGTAACAGTCAAAGGATATCGTCTTTCCAAGATGCGTACTACTTTGGTTCTGCAACGAAAGAAAAAAATAATTAGATAAGAAAAAATATAATAAAAATAATACCTACGTGTCTGTTCTGTTTTCCATATCGTCATATCGTCTTTTTCGATTGTTCGTTTCATTGGATTTTTTCTCCTTTTTTTTCATTGTGCTCCGTGATGTAATGTTTCGCATCCGCATTGTTCAAAACTCTTCTGATCTTCGTGTCATTGGTACGTTCGATGAGATGTCGAGTGTCGTCGTCGGTGTCGTTTGAAATCGCGTACATGTCTCTCTCACGATGTTATTCGAACGATTCGTTCTTTCACACTGATCTTCTGCGTACCTATCTAGTGATATATATATTTTTACTTAAAACGTCGTGTTAATCGTCCTCTGTATCCAACGCGATGCTTATGAGTGAATTACTTGATTGGAGCAGTCGAGTAAGAAGATCCTGCAATTGCTTGAGTAGTCCGTCTGTGGGACAATTAACGTTGAGTATTTTCATGTCGAATTTATCAGCATTCGTTATCGTTCTGGTGAATTTGTTAAATTTGTAATATTGACGTTTGTGTAGGAAATAAAGAGACCCATCGATATATCGGAAAGCTAGAGTAGGAGATGATGGTATTCCTGGAAATATCGACTGTAACGTGTGATATCCGTTAACGGTCATATCGAATTCGTTCAGTAACGCTACGCTATCGTCATTGTAGATCACGTACGTTTGTCTTCTATTGGTGACCAATGCTGCGTTAACGTGCATGTTCGTGGGTAACTTTAAGTCGAAAGGCCGTTTCGGCCAACCGTCCTTCAATCGTAAACTCGGGATAGTCTATCATGTAAATGATTATCCGCGAATATTACAATTTCTCCCGATGGTCGTTGATACGCAGCGTTTATGGAAACATTCGCCGGAAGAAAACGAAGGTAATCGTTGAGCGCGAGTGGTCCTTTGTACCTCTTACCGTTGACGTCTATCATCCACATGGTTTTTCGATAGGTAACCAATATGCGATGATTCAACACCAGTACATTGTCTACGTACGGTAGATCGCAAAGATCTCTTTTGTTTGATGTTGTTTTTGTTGTGTCAGTTGTTACCGGTGGTGATCGTGTACTCGGCACTACATTACGATTTTTTTTTTCGTATAGACGTTGAACAGCTAAATTGTCCTCTAGGCTGAGTTTAATGGTATTATTGGTGGCGTAAGGAAACATTATGGAATCTATATGTGAATTGTGCGACAATCCCAATGAATGTCCGATCTCGTGCGTTAACGTGTAAAGCAAATGCTGTTTGTTGTCTGGTACATTTTCGTTTAAATATATATGCCAATGTTCCGATCCGCCTATGTGTATCTCTGTGGTTTGCACGGGATCGTTCGTAGGTGCAAACGCGTGTCCGAGCACTCCACCAGGTCCGTCGAACAAACCGGAACAGATCTCTTTGCGTCTGCTATCGACGTATGTATGAAATCCTTCGCGGTACGATATTAAAATGTCTGGATTTAACGTTTGACGTTCGAATGTTAGAGATGTGTTCGCTGCCCATACGGAGAATGCGTATGCCGTAGTTTTCAATGTATCTGCGTCTGCCAAGTGGAAGTTCCACGTAAGATGCGTTTTTTTCCATTTCACTACAACCGTATTTTGTTCCTGGTGTGACATATCCAGTAACCCGCATCGCGGTTGTCGTATTTGATGTAACGTATTATTGTAACGTATTATCTAAAAATAGATACAGGAAACGGGGAGATAAGAGTGTCAATGAACGTGGTGCATTTTTTAAAAATAAAGTTTATTTTTGTAAAGCATACATGAAAACTTACATTAGCATATGGAATAGTCTAAATTGAGTTGAGAAAAAACATAATTACGTGTATCGTTATATAATTTTACAAACGACATTTGTCAATGGATTGTACTCTATTACTCTGTCATGAATAATTAGACAATAGGCCGTGGTGCCTGATGGAATATTTTCCCTACATTCGAATTCGATACGAATGTCCACGGTAGCGCTTTTCACAGATTCGTTTTGACGAGAGCAATCGATCACCACGAGCGGCGCGGCTGAAACAAATTGCGCGACGGTCAACAAAGCTTCATATGTTTCGTAGCCGTAGTACGATTTCGCAAATTTTGTATACATGTCGTATAGTATTGCGATTTTATTACGTTCGAAATCCAAATTCATATCATCGTACGGGAAAAAATCAGAGTTCAAAAATAGTTTTACGTTTACCAGCGCACACGCGTCGAAATGAGTGGTATCCTAAGAGAGTACGTTTCGCTTTCCAGTTTGAAGCGAAAAGATCACGTAACGCGGTTTTTCCAAATGCGACGTTGTCTTCACAGCCCACGAATGTTTGGTCGTGCTTTGAAGTAGAGGAAACTCGTACAAATCCCAAGATCGAAATCCCATGCTGAGATATCGTCCGTTTTCCAACGTTCGCAGAAGTGACAATTTGTTGACGTCGTTCAGTACCACGTGTGGCATCTTCCATTGCACTTTCGATAACTTGAGTGTATAGTCGTCTGCGTTGCTCGCGATAACGCAATTGTTGTCGTTACGCGCACGTATCAGGACTAGTTCATGTCGGGCGTTTATCACTATACGTTTGTAATCCTCGCAAAATCCCAGAAGTATGTTAAGCGGTACGCTAAAGTTAAAATCTTCAGTTATCGATCGACTTGTTAATAATGCGTCTAGACCTAATGTAAGCTTCCATCCGGCATTCTCCAACGTTCTGCTTCTGTCAACTGTCAACGAAACGTAATTTTTAACTGTGCTTGTAATACCAACGTTTCTGTTTCTGTCAATTTCCACTCCGTCTAATTCGTAGCGAATCTCGTCAAACATGAATGCGACGCAATTATTCGACAGTCTCGGTGGTTCGTTGGTACTTCCTTCCTTCCTTCGCACGACTAATTTTCCCTCGATGTAGAGCAAACTTTCGCACGGTAACGTGTAGAGATCCTGATGCTGAATCGGTATCCGTATTTCATCGCTGTATCCGAATGTAGTATTAGCGTACGGATTGTAAGTGTGAGTCTCTATTTTAACGATGCGATCGTCGAAGATCGGAGCACCTCCGATCTTCAGGATATCACGATTCATTTCTCACGACGAATCCGAGAGATCGTAGAAAGGCGACGTTCGTGGCGTTCAATCGACCTCCTTTTTTTCGTCGTTCGATCGTATCGATTTTTGAACGGTTGCCAACAATGTCGACGTTTGCGATGCGTTCACTCCGTCGTACAAATCGTTCAAGACGAGCATTTTCTGCCTTTGAACATAGTATCCCCTAGCGTCTACGTCGTATGTGAAGTCGAATTGATATATCTTCGCCGCGAAAGTCGATCAAATGTCCGTTCTGATCCACTACACGTATCGTTATATCGGTAATGTTTCGTGCGATGACCGGGGAGATAAATGACGTGCGTTGGAGTAACGGATAGTTTATATCCTGGAGGAACGTTCGCCGCGAATTCGTGTATCGTATGTGCCGGTCTGTCGTTGTTGTACGCACCCGAGGTAATATTACACTCAACGCGAATTATATTCATGTTCATAATTTTCACCAGTTCGTCCGACGCATGCCACTTGTTCGGTCGTAACACGCGAGACGTCGAAAAGCCCAACAATGAACCGATACTGTTCGTTTTGGAAAAATCCACTAGATATTCACACTTGATCTCACTTCTCATGGTGTTTTCGTTCGCTCGAAGAATTAATACGGATTCCTCCCTAGCCTTATTCTTATCGTAATCGTATATTTCATCGATCTCATCGGTCTCCTCGAGGTCGTTGTTGTTGATAGTACTCGGTAGTGTATTGTTAACTATAGCAGCCCTCGGATACTTTTCTATAGCGTTCAATTCGTACGATTCCTCGGGAATCGTGATCGTAATGTCGTTGGTGTCGAAGTGGAATTTATTATTCGAGGAGGTGACGTTCGGTATCGTGTTGTACGTTTTGAAATTCGTAAGACCCAATTCGTATTCGCTATCGCTCAAGTCCAAAGCGGGGAAGTAATTCGCCGCGAGGACACTGTTTTTTCCCGTTAGTGTGAGAGTCAACGACATGATCGTAGCACGAAAGTTACCGCTGGACTGTTCGGATCGCTGTGCAATATATCACACGAGGAGCTTCTTTCTCTTCCAATCGTTCTCCCAGAGAAATCGCAGACACAACTGACCGCAAATGCTTTGATCGTACGACTGATATGATCGTCTGTTGTACGTAATGTTACCTCCAAGATATTGTTCGAGTTCTCTCGGCGGTCTGAGATTACCGAAACTGTCGAAGTAGACAGCCTCGTCTCCCCTCTTCGCGTAAACGACCCAGTGTGTACCGAGGGCTGTCGAATCGTCGAGGTTCACGATACCGCACTCGTTTCGACGTGATTTCGCGGGTATCGCATCGCGCATGAATACACCTCTGAAGAACGGTAATTTTAAAAGATACGCCGAACGACTCAATTGCTCGTTCGTTGTGGTGCCAGAGATCGGTAATCTAAGAGTTTCTACCGTTTCCTTCCATGTTTTTTTTTTACCTTCTTCGACCTCTTCCTCAGATGACCGCCGCGTTTGTATGGTGCAATGTACCGCGACCCTCCATCGCGCGATTATGATGTTGCAATTCTTCGAGTTGTCGTCGAGCGGCTTTACGATCGCCCACCGCTTTCGCCACGCTAGCTGTTTCTCCGATCAAAAAACCCGAGCGCTCCCAACACTGGTAAAATCGGTAGGAAACCACCGCGTTTCGCTACAGATAAAATCCTCTTCTTCTTCGACTTTTTCCTCCTCTTCACACCCATGCCCAATTTTGTCTTCGCCTTCATGACTGCCCACACGGCTGTCGCGGCGGTTTTCTCACCGAACGTCGAATCGCTTACTGTAATACGCTGTCGTGCGAAAGCTCGATCAGCAATGTGTCGACTGGCTAGGTCTTTGCTTTGCGAATACGCGATATCGTGTTCGTGACAAGCTGCGTCTAATTGATTGATGCCTCGATCGCCGCAAGCTAATCGTTTCGCGAGGCGCGTGCCAGGTCCGCAAAATTGATATCCAGGTATATGTAATTCAAATGGAAGCGCGTTTATCGTTGCGTTCAGTAAACCCGCGCCGTGCGCAGATATCATTTCAGCACGTTTTGCATATCTATGAGACATCGGACACAATTCTTGATAAGAAGCGGTGGACCGTCTATATGCGTTTGTTGATCCGGAAGATTGTAATGCTCGAAACACGTACGACAACGTTTCACCTCAGTATCGGCTTTTATATGATCGGGTAATCGATCCCACAACTGTTCTATATAATTTTCAAAATCTCGCAGAAGAACGATCCTTGGCATGTACTGCAGTTGTTCGGCGGTAAAAGCGAGAATGTCACGTTTTTCTGTTATCAGGATAAACATTTTTTGAACGATTACTAGTCACAATCAGTGTTGCCGCGACGAAAATTTAAAATGTATTGACACCTGGTGGCAAAATGTAACATTTAATACATTAGGGTCATAAATGTACTAAAAAATGTACTAAAAAAAAGAAAAAGAAGCACGAAATAAAATATAAATACAAATATATATTTATTATTGATTTAAATGTGTACCTACATATGTACTACTTATTTCAATTTGCATATGTATTTTATTTATAATTTGATTTACATTTTAATATAGTTCATAAATAACTTAAGCCCATGACACATAGAAAAACGTAAGGCCGTAAACGTAATCAGTAAGCGAATTGACCAATCGCAGTTGAGAACGTAAGCGGCGGCGGCTTACGTTCTCAACTGCGATTGGTCAATTCGCTTACTGATTACGTTTACGGCCTTACATTTTTCTATGTGTCATGGGCTTTAAATAAAAACTCAGATTGTGAAATTAATTATATAAATTATAAGTATATTAAACTACTTACTGTACATTGAGTAGTTACAGGCAGCATGAAATAAGCAAAGATGTTCAGAACATTCAGAAAAACTTCGAAGAAAACATAAAATTAACAAAAAATTGCTTACTTGTCCCCACTATGCATATAATTAATATCATATCCTCGAGTGTACACTTTGGAATCTTGCAGGATCTTAGTTTTATCAGAGAGAAACCTCTTTGGTTTAACACAATTTCGAGTAATTTTAATCTAACTTTTACTGTTTTCACATTGGCTGCGTACATTTAAATTCTTACAACAATTTACAATACATTTAAAAAATTCTAATAAATTCTAAAATGTAATAGATTTAAAGTATTTTGTATTGACGTACTAAAACAGATCAAAATGTAATAAAAAAATTCATTTGTACTAAAAACGGCAACACTGGTCACAATAGATCAGTGCTCGGAATTAGTTGCACATTTCGGGCCGATTTTGGAGGCGACGCCTACTGTCTCCCCACTACCACTCGAGCCTCGGCGGCCGAGCCGCCGACCGCTCACGTGACGCTGTGCCTCAGGAGCGTCGCGATACTTTCCAGCATGCTGGGAGTATACCATCCGACAAATATAATTAAAATATTTTTCTTTTTACGTGATTTTTATTTGAACAAATTTTTTTTATTATTAGCATATTATGTATATATTCTATAATAATATAATTTACAATTATTACAGTATGATAATTATAATATTGAACAACAGTTTTCCACATCACCTCTGAGGTACTATTGTTGACGCGTTTTTTTTTTAAGTGGTTTCCCCAGTAGGCCTATTCCACTAAGAAAATAACGAAAAAGCTGATTAAATCTATAGCTCGAGGAAAGCAATATTCTTTAATATTAAATATTTATAAAAACGAACGAGGATGAAACGGGAATAATTATTTTTCTTGAAATTTTAAATATTTGACTTTCTGGGTCGTTTGCACGATTGTACTAGTAACGATACATCCACAGAGAGTTTAGAAGTAGTAGTTCGCATTATCGAGGATAACGATGCATCATTCAAAAAGAATAGCTTTTTGTTTTTGTGATTTTCGAAGAGAGATAGAAATATAATAAATAAATAATTTTATTATAAATAGTTACAGTAAAGGTAAATCTTATTGAAAGGTTGCTCATATATCTTTGCTTATTAATTATTATCCATTTTTCAAATAAAATCAGTAGCAGAATTATAATGCTATAATAGCAAAGATGACACACAGTTTTATAACTACATTATTACAGTTTACTTTATTACAATAACCATTACTATCTTTAGTTTAGTACTATCATACATAGCGTATTATTAAATATAGCTTTATCATTATCACGCAAATAGTATTTTTTGTAATCTATCGTTATAATATGAATTTTTAATGCTCATTTCCACAATGTAGATTGTAGATTAACTTTAATCTCTGTTGAACTTATTCTTCGTCTTTTTATAGTTCTAAAAATTATAAAAAGATGAAGAGTAAGTTCAATTAAAGTTAGTCTACTTGGAAATGGGCATAAACCTCGCGGTTTTGTTATATAGACGCCTATTCCTACCGCGCGTCGATATGCATTTGTTTTATCCTCCGCTGTTTTTTAACGGTTTTCTAACATGCGTGCTCAGTAGAAGTTTTATGTACGTTAGTAGTGGTTTCGTACGAGATTATTGTGCTGTGTATTTTTTACTTTACAAGTATTATATGTATTTAGTAATATTTACAAACAAAAAGTGCTATTGAGTGATATTGGTACATGTGATAATGTTACGTTTGTGAATGCTACGTTCGTGTTAAGAAAAGAGAATGTACTAGTGTTTATTAATAGGGCAAAGTGTAATAGTGTGTGTATTATTTCCTTGTGTTTTATTTCCTTAGTGTTTATTTTGGTGTAATCTTGCCACCGATTTAAATTGACTTCAAAAATGGATAAATACGTGCAATCTTTTAACAAGGTATGGGAAGAAATTTTTTTTACATTAATAAATAATAAAACCACCTGTCTTCTGTGTGGATATCAACCTATTGTTGTTAAAAAATATATTCTTTATAGGCATTATAATACAAAACATTTAAAAGATTATTCAAAATATGTGGACAAAGAGAAATTTGATTTAATCGAGGGATTAAAACTAATTTATCAAGAAGAATGTAATTCAAGCTCTCATGTCGATAATGCTACACCTTCAGTAAAAGC